TTAAACTGAATCAAACTGTGATTTGTCATATTTGCTCATTAATATAACTAAACAACTAATAAAAGGGAATAAGAGATCATTAGAAAAGGAGACATAGGGGTCCACTAATATTTAGAGATTATACTTCACAAATGTGCATGTGTATGTATTCATAAACAAACTCAAATAATGTAAAACCAAAAGAGTGGGTACAAATATCATACAATTGAGAAAAGAACAGGGTACTGTACTTACAATATGCAACAGCTTAAGGACATCGACAAACCTGGTAATTAAACAAAAAAACAATAGTGAGATTTCAAAATATTCTGAACTTTTTTAAAAAGAGTAATCTGAGAATACTTACACTTTCTCTGAGCTCATGATCTCCTTAGCAATGTAATATACTTTTGTCTTCTGTCTTGGTCTCTTTTCCTGCATATAAAAATGTTTATGTTTTAATGGCAGCTGCTTTATATATTTTGCTGTATGCTTTAAAAGTATAGTTTTTGATATGGTGGTGAATGGAGTGAACTAGTAATTATTTTTTTTATGTCTGATGGGGCCTCTCCATCAAGTAGCTGGGGATCCAGTGTAATTGCTCATATTGCTCCACACTGTTCTTCTGCTTCATGGCTGCCATGGAAGTGGATAGAAATACTACTAAATCATCTAGGCAACACAGCAAGCTTAAAAATAAATCCTTAAAATTTAGAACAAAAAGCTTCACTTCATTTACTGAGTAGTACTTATTGTTGCATGATGCACAAAAAAAAGCTACTTTGGAGTGCTAAATGTTGAAAAGGGGAACAATCCTTGCAAAGAGTGTGGGTTGTCTGGAACTGGGTCAGAGGTATGGATAACACAGCTGTCAGCTGCACAAGAATTTGTTTGCTACATGTATTCAATTTGAATATCCCTAACGATTTGTTTTTCCACGATGCACATTTACAGTAACAGCAATGTTTGCAGATAATTAGGACACTCTAATTATACACATTCAAAAATTACATCGGCAAAAACAAGCCTAAATACGCCTAATGCATTTTTATTTATATGTTCTAATAATACAAAACTAGATTTAGGAAAAGAATTGTCAGCAAACCCGCATAAGATACTGTAGCTTTTGCATAAACATTGAGGTATATTTTCAGCAAGTACAAAATGTGGAGTTATTGCAACAGGATAGTTATTCACAGGATAGTAATGTTTTTTTTATATCATCATTCAGTGGCTGACTGCATGTTATACACAAAAGAGGATCTGTTATTTTGCCCAATCAGAGAAACCCTCACCCACTTAAACTTACCTTTGCCGTGCTCCCCCATTGAGCTACTGCTCCATCAGAACCCTCAGTAAATAGCCACTATTTCCAGGTGGGTATTGAGAAGCATGTGACCTCCTCCCAGAATGCATTTCTGGGGCATACGAGGCCATTAACAAAGAGATTTCACGTGAGGAGATGGATGTCATTAACCCTGTATATGCTCTAAATGGAGCTTAGAGATTTGGAATTTCCAACTCCAACAGAGAAATGCAGCAGCGGGGCAGAACGTGGAAGATGAATATAAGTGGTGGGGGGTTTTTTTGTTTTGTTTTTTTCAAGGTAGCCTGTCATTTTGCCCTACTTGAGTCTTAACCTTTGCCGAGACAGAATATTTGGTCATCTAGACATTGTTCTGACTGTAGAGCACGGTGCTGTATTACTAAACAGTAATAAGCAAACAGGGCTTCCTCCATTACTTTTTATGTGCATATAGTAAAAACATTAAAATGGCTTAAAGTCAATGTTTGCTGGCAACCCAAAACATTTCTTTGGCCATGTTCTGTGCTAAGATCATGGGTGATGCAACCCAAGCCGATCAAACCACTATAGTGCCAATTATTTGTGGATGGGACAAATGAGTGTTGCAAATACAGGATGTGAACACATGAAAGGAAATAGAGAGCATGTGCCCTGGAACTCAGGTCTACGGGCACCACCCATTAATATTTTAAAAGGTCAGACACAGCAGATGAGGGGGAGCAATCTTAAAGAACTACTCCAGGAAAAAGAATTATTAAACATTGCAGTGGGGCTACTTCTGCACTGCTGGTGTTACCTGCTCATTTTTGTCTAGCTTAAAAAAAAAAGTTATTATCATTCAATGCTCTAAGCCAGCTTGTTCCTAGACCAGTCCTCCTCCTCTGCAGCATTCTAAGGTCCCATAAATCATCATGTACTTTACACTATCTATAGACGTGAGGACACGGAGTAAGATTCCAATGCTGCAGCGGAGAAGACAGGCAGGAGAAAGCGCTGTGATAGCTGGCCGGCTCAGGGCTTTGAGTGAGTATGACTGTTATATTAGCACCTAGACAAAAACAGCACTTAACCCTTGCATTGCAGGGGTATCCCCACTGCAAGGGTTGAGAAAAGGTTTTCCTTGAGTTCCAGTGCATGATACACATAACAGTACAAAATGATGCACGGATCTCATACTAATGCTATTAAAATACATACAAATTTACTAGTAAGAACTAAAACATCCCAGATATAACTAGGAATAGAAATGCATAATTTACCACACGCTTACCGATTTACATTCCGAATTATCAAGATCTGTTTTGCTGGAGTCCGAGCTAAATTCATCTTCATCTGAGCTATTGATAATTTCCTCTTCATCTGAAAGGACCATGCCCACATCATCCTCTGGATCTTCTTGGGATACCCCACTACAAATGACCACAAACATGATAATATGATTGGCTGACACTTAAGTCACTTTGAGGGGGGGGGGGAAATACATTTTAAAAAATCAGGAAAAATGATAATAGTTGAACCAAATACTAGCCATTTAGTAGCAGCCAGACTACTAAATGAAAGGGTTGCATTTCAATACAAGTTAAAAATTGCATTCTTGGCTATGCCAAAAAAAACAAAACATTGTACGGAAGTTGCATTTGGAGAAAAACCGTAATAGGTGACCTTTTACAAACTTAAGTACAATATATTTTCAACTGTTAAGTGTTCCACCTACAAAAAAATAATTTACTGACTGTATTAAATTCAGTGTTAGTGATAAGATACACTGTGAAAGAGAACTTATGAACTTTATATAATCTTTAAGAAACTCTGTTTATAATATAGATTGAGAAGTCAGTTCACTTACCAACTTATTTAGACTACTATAAAAGCATGCATTCTTTTTATATAATCCCTGTCATGGTATCTTTTTAAATACAGTCATTGAGACTAATTAATCGCCCATTTTTTTTATTTTTTTTTAAGAATTTTTTTTACTCTTTGAGTTCAACTCATAACTTACATCACGTTATCATAATCATTCCATACATAAAAAACCTTTGTGAAATCTTCACAATAAATCATAACAAATATTTAACTCCTATTTACCTTGTACTTACACCTTAAATCACACCATCCTTACATTCCTCCATCCCACCCCCCAGCAAAAAAAAAGTCACCCTTTTATTCTTAAACTGTGGAGAACCGATACAGAATGTACCTATTTGAACCAAACATTACGGACTGATCTGTAGCTCCCAGCTTCCCCAGTCACTGGTCGGGACTCTGTTTACCCTACACTAACTCTGCTTTATTGAGCAACTGCACAAACTTTTATACAGCAAGTGATGAAATCAGAATATAATCCCATCACATCCACCCTCCCCGACAATCGGTCTGCTCAACACCACAGGTGTCCACCAGAATGTCATTGTTCTGAGCTCCCTCAGAGTACAATGGGAGAGAACGAGGGATGGTGCTGATAGTCTTTTCATAACCAGATCACGCAGTATAACATAATTAAACATAACTCAACACCAATACACGTTTAACACCTAAACTGATCACCATGTCGTCACACTCTATACTGAGTGTTCCTGTTCATTCATAACATGAGGACAGAGTATGTTTACTATATCCACAATCATGAATGAACAGGAGGTGATGTAGATGACTTCCCATGCATTCATAATTGAGGATATAGTAACCATACTCTGAAGAGAAAGAATGGATGCACAGCTATTTCGGCCAGAAAATGGCACTTTCAGCATTTTGCCAAAAGTGCCATTTTCAGCCAGTATGTTTCGGCAGCCGATATATCGGTGCATCCCTACAGGAGACATCTATATACAATGCCAAACATGGCTGCAATTATGCTAGCCGTTTAGCCTCTTAGAGGACAGAAGTTGTATGGACCTCACAGAGATTAACAGGCTATAAAAGGATTTGGAGTAACTGGGAGCCAAGAGATGTTGCATGTGGGTATACTTAATGCCCAGAAGTTTCACTATACACATGCAAAGTTAGACAAGGCATGACCCCACCCCAGGTAAGTGGAGTCATCTCAGATAATGCCTGTACTTTAAGTTTCATTGGATAAACGTAATGTTTAATGGGGCCCGGCTCACCCCAAGAAATTGGAGTCTTCACAAATGTGGTCTGTACTTTAAGATGCTTTATTGGATAAATGCAAGGTTAGAAGGGTCCAGACCCACCCTAGAAAAGTGGAAAAGTGGGATCTTCACAGATGATGTCTGTATTTGTGGAAACTTCACTTGACACATACAAGGTTAGATGAAACCTGGGCTCATGTACGGAAAGTGTAGTCTTCTGTGCTTAAATGAACCTTACTAAAACACATGCAAGGTTAGGAAATTGTAGTCTTCATGGACTATTCCTGTAGTTGAAGAAACATCTCATTGGATAAAATGAAAGTTAGGTGAGGCCTAGCCCCACATTAAGGAAGTGGGGTCTTCACATTTTATACCTGAAGGAAGCCAAAACTTTTTTTTTTGTGGATTGAGAAAGGGAGGTTTATAACCCGTTTAAAAGAAAAAAAGATTAGCGATTCCCCAGATGATTTTAACAAATCATGCGTTTTCAAACCAACGAAGTGCATGTTATGTTTGTAAAAATCGCCCGGGTCTGTAACTAAGAAAGCATATGAATAGAAAAAGGATGCCCGCACATATAGTAATGCACCGGCTACAGAAGTTACTTCAGACCGTCATCTTTTTTTCTTCGACCTGTGTCCCATTAGGGAGACACTACACTACAACAGAAAGGGAAATGGTGAGCAGGATCACCAGAACTGGTGTAGCCATTGGAAGATTTCCCACCTACACCTGTTTAAATTAAAACTTTACTTTCAGTGATAAGTTACCAAGACAAATAGGAAGGACGAATCTCCCTAACAGGGACACAAACAATAAAGTCATGTCAGGTGTTTTAATCCCTCTTCATTCTATCCAAAATCAAAACAAAAAAAAGTTTTGACTTCATTTACACTTTAATTAGATGCATGCAAGGCTAGACTAAGCTTGACCCCATCCCAAACAGTGAGTCTTCAGAGATTATCACTGGGTGTGCAGAAGCTTCATGAAACACATGCAAGGTTAGATGGGGTCAGGCCCCCCGCCTGATGGCATCTTCACATGACACATATAGGGTTAGATGGGGCCTGGGCTTCCTGTGCTTGCAGAAACTTTGCTGCTAGTTCAATGTATGTGGTGTCTGTAAACTGCCAATTCACACAATAAATCACATTAGAATGATACCCACATCAACTATGCCCAAAATGCCATCATTTGCATTGGAGCACAGATACATTTGTTTCAAATAATGTATTCTATATTCCAGATCGTTTATGAGGACTACATGTTTCCTCTACTTCAAGCAATGGAATATGTCTGCATTGCTCAATGTAAATACTGACAGTCTAAAGAAAATCATTTGACAAAATATTTTTTTTAAAGCGCACATGAATGAACGCAGAGATGACAAACTATTTGCAGAGAAATATTTCAGAAGTAATAAAGTAAAGTTAAATAGTTTGAATATCCTGAGAATGTGTTATCCTGGAAAAGACAGGTTCACCACCATGCAAGTCTGACATGGAGAGCCAGATATCAGTGTTCTCTAAACAGTCTGTCTGGGTTTTACTGTAGCTCAAATAGTTGATTAATACTGTGCTTACCCTAGACTAGCTGCAGTGCTGTGAGGAACTGTATGTTTATCAAGCAGCACAGGAAACTGCTGTGCAACTATCCTGTTCAGACTATATTACATTCAGTAACATTTTGACTTATACAGACGTTTGCCAGTTTGTAGAATTCTATTGCACAGCTGTCCACACATACCAGACCATATCAGATTATTAGCTTAAAGGAAATGCATAAATGTTTTCTATGTATTTATGTCTGACAAACGCTTGATGTACAGGTAAATATTATGTGTTGATGTTTAAAAAAAAAACAAGAAAAAAAAAAAAAACTTGTTGCTATTTATAGCTGCCCTGAACGCAGGAAGCAGGCCAGGATGCGATACAGTGCGTTCCAGCAGCTGACCGCTCTGGAATGCACTTTTTTAAAAAAAATTCTTTATTTTTCAGTTTTCAGATATTCAAACAATAGATAATTACAGAAGAAGGAGCTGTACCAAAGTATACAATACATTGAGTATAGCGTAAACCCACATCATATATGTAAGATCCATCAAATCCATTGAAGTCATATGTCTCATAAGCAGTGTGCAACGGTCATAGACCCCTCCACCCTTTGGTGGGGGCACAACTACTGAGCTGTCGATCTAGAAAATACATTATCTCAGGGATGTAGTTTGGCCAGCCTAGCAAGGAGGGGAAGCAAGAAAAAGAAAGAGAAAGATACAGGACTGAGATAGGGGGGTGGGAAGCAGGGAGGTATGAGGCACTAAAAGGGTAACCATAAATACAAGTTGAATAGGCAGTCAGCCGTGACCCGACAGGCGAGAGGGTAGTGAGGTTTAGGTCCTTCATGACCAGAGCGTCAAGCTATAGCTAAGGACTCTTAGATTCATTCCCCCTCGGGTACTGAGGTGGGACTCAGGCCACCATGAATGCGCTATACTCCGGGGAGTAGAGGTACTCCAGCCAATAGAACCACGTTTTCCGAAATTTGCCATCCGTATGGTTCAGGGCTGCTGTAAGCTCTTCCATCACCCTCGTCTCATCCACTTTCCGCAGCCACATTGTGACCGTCGGTGGATTAGTGCTTTTCCACCGGAGCGGTATGCAGGCTCTGGCAGCATTTACTAAGTGGATAAGTAGAGAGGTGCGGTACTTGGTCCGGGACAGGGTGGACTTGTGAGGCAACAGTGCGGCTGGATCCCCAGCTAGAGATATACCCGTCAGATGTTTTATGATGCGTATGACCGAATCCCAGTATTCCCGAAGGCTGGGGCAAGACCAAAACGTGTGTAGAATGGTTCCCTCTGCCTGACCACATCTCCAGCATGTTGGTGGGGTTTGGGGGAACATTTTGTGTAATCGCGTGGGAACGTAGTACCATCTGGTAAGTATCTTGTATCCAGTTTCCTGGGTGGAAGACGCAGTAGACGATTTATGGGCAAAGTGGAGTATGTAGTCCTTTTGGTCTTGCGAGAAAGTAACGGATAGATCTCTTTTCCATTTTGTTAGGAAGCTGGGATTGGGTGTATCAGGAGTGCGCGCCAAGAGGGCATGGGCCGTGGAAAGACCATGGTCAACGTATCCGCCCGCCAGACAAAGCTCCTCAGATGGAGTCAGATCTGTGCGTGGGGTAGGGAGGTTGGTTAGTTTGAGGAGGTAACTCCGGAGTTGGAGGACCTGCCAGCGTATAAGGGGTGGTGTAACCAGATTGGCTAGCGCCTCTAGGTTTGCCAAATCTCGTCAAGGTAGGACGTGTCCCTGTCC